AATACTTAGCTGGCCTCTAGAAACGTCACTCTTGGCTCCCAGTGCCTAGACAGCGGTCATATTGTCTTCTGCGAAGGATTGATTCAGTATTCAAAAATAGCCATGGAATAATCAGCTCTAGCTGATCTGGTTCTCAGACGGCCCGGCCAATGCGGGTGACATCACACTGCTTACAGGAAGGATTCCAGAGCACTTCAGACTGCCTAGAACAGTGGTGGGCAACCTTTTTTTTTTCAACTGAGCCAAATCTAGCCAAAACCACGATTGAAATTACTTTTGAGAGCCACATTTTTAAAACTGAAAATACATCCCCCATATAGTAATTCATCCCCCATAGTAATTCCCCATAGTAATTCATCCCCCCTATAGTAATTCATTCCCCATATAGTAATTCATCCCCCCCATATAGTAATTCATCCCCCATATAGTAATTCATCCCCCCATATAGTAAATCATCCCCCATATAGTAATTCATCCCCCATATAGTAATTCATCCCCCATATAGTAATTCATCCCCCATAGTAATTCATCCCCCATATAGTAATTCATCCCCCATAGTAGTAATTCATCCCCCATATAGTAATTCATCCCCCCCGTATAGTAATTCATCCCCCCGTATAGTAATTCATCCCCCATATAGTAATTCATCCCCCATAGAGTAAATTCATCCCCCATATAGTAATTCATCCCCCATATAGTAATTCATCCCCCATATTAATTCATCCCCCATATAGTAATTCATCCCCCATATAGTAATTCATCCCCCATATAGTAATTCATCCCCCATATAGTAATTCATCCCCCATATAGTAATTCATCCCCCATAGTAATTCATCCCCCATATAGTAATTCATCCCCCATAGTAATTCATCCCCCATAGTAATTCATCCCCCATATAGTAATTCATCCCCCATATAGTAATTCATCCCCCATATAGTAATTCATCCCCCATATAGTAATTCATCCCCCATATAGTAATTCATCCCCCATATAGTAATTCATCCCCCATATAGTAATTCATCCCCCATATTAATTCATCCCTCATATAGTATTTCATCCCCCACAGTAATATTCCCCCCCAAGTAGTAAGCCAATTCCCACCTTTTTTTTTCAACTGAGCCAAATCTAGCCAAAACCACGATTGAAATTACTTTTGAGAGCCACATTTTTAAAACTGAAAATACATCCCCCATATAGTAATTCATCCCCCATAGTAATTCATCCCCCCTATAGTAATTCATTCCCCCATATAGTAATTCATCCCCCATAGTAATTCATCCCCCCTATATCATAATTTCATCCCCCATATAGTAAATCATCCCCCATATAGTAATTCATCCCCCATATAGTAATTCATTCCCCATATAGTAATTCATCCCCCATAGTAATTCATCCCCCCCCATATATAGTAATTCATCCCCCATAGTAATTCATCCCCCATATAGTAATTCATCCCCCCGTATAGTAATTCATCCCCCCGTATAGTAATTCATCCCCCATATAGTAATTCATCCCCCATAGAGTAATTCATCCCCCATATAGTAATTCATCCCCCATATAGTAATTCATCCCCCATATATTAATTCATCCCCCATATAGTAATTCATCCCCCATATAGTAATTCATCCCCCATATAGTAATTCATCCCCCATATAGTAATTCATCCCCCATATAGTAATTCATCCCCCATAGTAATTCATCCCCCATATAGTAATTCATCCCCCATAGTAATTCATCCCCCATAGTAATTCATCCCCCATATAGTAATTCATCCCCCATATAGTAATTCATCCCCCATATAGTAATTCATCCCCCATATAGTAATTCATCCCCCATATAGTAATTCATCCCCCATAGTAATTCATCCCCCATATAGTAATTCATCCCCCATATTAATTCATCCCTCATATAGTATTTCATCCCCCACAGTACTATTCCCCCCCAGTAGTATAGCCAAGTCCACCTTTTTTTTTTCAACTGAGCCAAATAGTAATCTAGCCAAAACCACGATTGAAATTACTTTTGAGAGCCCCATTTTTAAAACTGAAAATACATCCCCCATATAGTAATTCATCCCCCCCCATAGTAATTCATCCCCCATATAGTAATTTCATTCCCCCATATAGTAATTCATCCCCCATATAGTAAATCATCCCCCATAGTAATTCATCCCCCATATAGTAATTCATCCCCATATAGTAATTCATCCCCCATAGTAATTCATCCCCCATAGTAATTCATCCCCCATAGTAATTCATCCCCATAGTAATTCATCCCCCATAGTAATTCATCCCCCATATAGTAATTCATCCCCCATATAGTAATTCATCCCCCATATAGTAATTCATCCCCCATAGTAATTCATCCCCCATATAGTAATTCATCCCCCATATAGTAATTCATCCCCCATATAGTAATTCATCCCCCATATAGTAATTCATCCCCCATAGTAATTTCATCCCCCATATAGTAATTCATCCCCCCATATAGTAATTCATCCCCCATATAGTAATTCATCCCCCATATAGTAATTCATCCCCCCCATATAGTAATTCATCCCCCATATAGTAATTCATCCTCCATATAGTAATTCATCCCCCATATAGTAATTCATCCCCCATAGTAATTCTTCCCCCATAGTAATTCATCCCCCATAGTAATTCATCCCCCATAGTAATTCATCCCCCATATTAATTCATCCCCATATAGTAATTCATCCCCCATATAGTAATTCATCCCCCATATAGTAATTCATCCCCCATATAGTAATTCATCCCCCATAGTAATTCATCCCCCATAGTAATTCATCCCCCATATAGTAATTCATCCCCCCATAGTAATTCATTCATCCCCCATAGTAATTCATCCCCATATAGTAATTCATCCCCCATAGTAATTCATCCCCCATATAGTAATTCATCCCCCATATAGTAATTCATCCCCCCCATATAGTAATTCATCCCCCATATAGTAATTCATCCCCCATATAGTAATTCATCCCCCATAGTAATTCATCCCCCATATAGTAATTCATCCCCCCATAGTAATTCATCCATATAGTAATTCATCCCCCATATTAATTCATCCTCTCATATAGTATTTCATCCCCCACAGTACTATTCCCCCCCCAAGTAGTAAGCCAAGTCCCACCTTTTTTTTTCAACTGAGCCAAATCTAGCCAAAACCACGATTGAAATTACTTTTGAGAGCCACATTTTTAAAACTGAAAATACATCCCCCATATAGTAATTCATCCCCCATAGTAATTCATCCCCCATATAGTAATTCATCCCCCATAGTAATTCATCCCCCATATAGTAATTCATCCCCCATATAGTAATTCACCCCCCATAGTAATTCATCCCCCATATAGTAATTCATCCCCCATATAGTAATTCATCCCCCATAGTAATTCATCCCCCATAGTAATTCATCCCCCATATAGTAATTCATCCCCCATATAGTAATTCATCCCCCATAGTAATTCATCCCCCATAGTAATTCATCCCCCATATAGTAATTAATCCCCCATATTAATTAATCCCCCATATAGTAATTCATCCCCCCATATAATAATTCATCCCCCATATAGTAATTCATCCCCCATAGTAATTCATCCCCCATATAGTAATTCATCCCCCATATTAATTCATCCCTCATATAGTATTTCATCCCCCACAATACTATTCCCCCCCAAGTAGTAAGCCAAGTCCCCCCTGTGTCAATTCACTTACCTTTGCTCCGCGCGTTCCTCTCGCCGTGTTCCCGCGCCGTTCCGGTCTTCAGGGTGGACTGTGAGAGGAGAGGAGTTTGTCACGCTGCCCCGCCTACATCCTGACAGCCAATGTTTGCCACGCTCCGCGGGCCGTAGTTTGCCCATGCTGGGCTCGCTGCAGAGCCCTGACTTTTGGGGTGGCCGCCCGAGAGGAGGGAGGGGAGCGGGGCGCCCAGCACACAGAAGAGCCGCATTAGAGTGTGTAAAGATCCGCATGTGGCTCGCGAGCCGCGGCTTGCCGACCACTGGCCTAGAAGACCGACTTTTCTTCCTATTTCACTGCAACATCCTTTAAGAACCCCCGCCGACAGCTCACATCAGGTATACTGCGAGTGGGCAGCTGGTTCAGGTACAATCAGGTACATGTATCTTGGCTGATTCTTCCGGGGTGAGTGGCGTACATCCCCTGGCGACCCGTGCTGTGACTGGACACAGAGCGAGTTTTTGCAGCTGATTTCAGCCGATGATTTTGGCTGAAGTCAGCTGATCGGCTATGTCCAATTACACACAGATCTCTGTGTTTCCAAAAACACAGAATGAAAAAAAAACAAAAAACCACTGGTTGGTAGATTTGCTGAGAAATATGGACATTGGAGCAAAGTCGACTGAAGTGGACAGGAGAATGAATGGGGATTGGCCGAAAATAGACACCTATGGAAGGATGCTCTGAAAATTTAATAAATGGAATAAACTTCATCAAACGGACTGACAAAGAAAAAAAAAAAAAAAAAAAAAACAAAAAACCAAGACACCTGACAGAGGACAGAAAGGCCCGCTAGCACCCCCCCTCCCCTCAATGACCATGTTTACCATTTAGAAAGATCCGGACATGTTGTTTCCCTGGTTGTGGAGAGACACCAGTAGATTGCTTATCTTCTCCATATTCTGTTCAGTTGTCAGTGAGGAATTCTCAGACATCTGCTGGGACAGAAGTGACGTCACAGACTGCCCATCTCCTTGAGATTGCCCTGGCTGAGCTAGCGCCATCATCTGGTCGGGCATAGGTCCTGTGCCTGGAGATATCAGCTGAGTGCAATCTAAATGAAAAATCGTAATTGAGTTACTAGACTGATATCTATATAGCTGAATTGTTGATGAACTCACGTTTTAGTTACAAGAGAACCGGAATCTTCAAAGACATTGGAATATGTTTTGACTTAAAGTGGTTGTAAACCTCAGATATGAAGTATGAACAAAACACATCCCGCTATAGTGTGTACTTGTCTCAGTCCAGAGCACCAAGTGTAATTTCTTTCTGCTGCCTCATTCCTCTGCTATCTGCATGAGTCACTTCTGACAAGTTTTGCTGACACCAAGAGAAAAATGGTGACGGGGAGGGACCTCCAGCTGATTGACAGTCTCAGCTCTGTTCCTGTGTGCTGTGTGGAGGGGGGTGGGTTCTCTCCCCTCCAATTAGCTCTTGGAACTCCCCTCAATGACCTCTGCAGAGTGTAATTTCAGCTCTTCACCCCATTTTTTCTGAACTCTCAGGCAAGCTTATGAATTCAGCAGTTTAAAGGATAAATTCACCTTTGAGGACACGTTACATGTTCCACCCGTTTTTAGGGTGGAACATGTAACATGTTCCCATAGCTGCAGCCACGCCTGTTGCTCCCCTCCCTCTGACAGGGGCAGTATGTATGGGGCAGGGGTGGACTGACCATTCCAGCACTTGGGGCACTGCCCGAGGGCCCGGGGTCAGCAGGGGGGGCCTCATTAGATGCCCCTGGTACCTTTCATAGGCTTTTTTGGGTGTGGTTTGAGTGTGGGGCAAGGACACAGGGGCCCCATGATCCCCTATTGCCCGGGGGCCCAATGAGCTGCCAGTCTGCCCCTGGTACGGGGAGATGTTTCTCTGTACTGTCAAATTTGAAAATAGCGCAGCTGTGCGGGGCTCCGCCCACACGTCCACGTCACTTATTCACAGAGTTCTGAGAATGAGTGCCTACAAGTCCTGGCAGCCTTAGTGGCCATCGGCTTGTAGTTTTCAATGAACTACGGCGCCATGGTAGTTAATTGAAAGCTTCCTGTCAGAATATCTGCTGACCGTACATCCCGTACACCCCATACATCCCCCGTACATCAAGCAGATATTCTGACAGGTCTGCAGGAGACCTGCACGGCATCAGCGATCTACTGATCGTTGGTGCAATGCTTTCCAGGCTCCTGTAGACAAAAATAATAAATGCACATTTTTTTACCTGTAAAAAAATGTGCATTTATTATTTTTGTCAAAAAAGTGAACTTACCCTGCAGATAAACAGCTACAACTTATGTAGGAGGATTTGTTTAATCTCTGTGCATCACCTTAGGCCAGTCACCCCACTGGATAACGTAAGGGTTTACAACCACTTCAACCTTGTGATCTCTTGGAAGAGTCAGTGGGTTTAGATTTAATTTTTTATTGGTATTCACGTAAAGAAAAATCCAATGTATTTCAGGGAGTTGTAGCAGAGCTATATAACCGAGAGATAATATGTGATAATGGAGGCATATGTTGGTAATGAAGCAAGGTGCCTAATTTTTATTTCCATCAAACATCTTGGTAGAATGGTTTTGAACGGGTACACAAAGTTGACCTATGACATAAAGAACTACAATGAAGTATTTATGTGGCAATCCACAGAATATAATACTACCTCAATGCTATCACACATCACAGTCTATACTCTCTCTATCCTAGAAAGCTGAAGAAAGAGTACCTTAAAGGCCAAGTTCACCTCTAAAAAAAAAAAAAAAGTGAATAACTGCACATTTTTTGCAAGTAAAAATGTGCATTTATTATTTTTTTTTTTTCTAAAACCTACAGAGCATTGCACCCAAGAGCACGAGTGCAATGTCAGGCTCCTGCAGAATCTCGGCATAGCTGTCTAACCATACCTCCTGAAGGGGTAGACAGTTACTGGAGAGCAGGAAGATCAATTAATTTCTCACAGTAGGAGGTGCATCTGAGCGTTTGCGCTATTTTGCATTATTTTGCGTGTTCCCGTGTGTTTTTTTAACAGGAGGCTCTATGCTCATGAAACACGCAAAAAAAAAAAAAAAAAAGGTGCTGGCATGATTTTTAAATCATGTCCCACCAAAATGCTAGGTACTGTGTGGTACCAACGTGGGCACAAACGTGCGACTGGTGGGGAATTAATGGCACCCCCACGCATCTGCAAAAGACATCGTATTTTTGTGCGGTGCGGGAAACCGCACGACTTCACAAGCATTCTCGCACTGTGAAAAGCCTTAAAATGTAGTTTGTAAGGCAAAGCCCCCGTGTTAGCACAAATGCCCTCTTCCCCTGATGGTGGGGGAACTTATGCAGCACTGTGCCGAGTTAGATTACTGCCCCCACCCATGGGACATGAGCAGCCTGGAGGGGGAAAGGGAAAAGTAATCAAGCCCTTTACAGTCCGATCATGAAAAGATTAGTATGTTAATGCCTGTGTATGGAGAGGAATGGAGAGGAGGGAGAGAGCACACCCCACACCTCCTCCCGGCTCTCTCCTCCTCTATGCTGTTATTTGTACTCTTTCCGACAAAACTGACAGCTGTGCAAACCACCGACCTGTCCTTAGCAATGATGACATCATCGGTTAGTAGGACGCGGACGGGCGGCTTGCACAGCTTTCAGTTTTGCTGGGAAGAGTACAGATAACAGCATAGAGGAGGAGAGAGCCGGGAGGAGGTGCTAGGTGTGTTCTCTCCCTCCTCTGTGCACCCAGACATAAATAGAGTAACCCTTTCGTGATCGGACTGTAAAGGGCTACATGCCATTTGGCCGTGGCACCCTGGTTGTAAAACCCTGCTCTATACCATAGTAAATCTGAATTTGGTTCCACTTTAACATGGCGGGGGCTACTAAGCTGCATTAATCAAATACATGCCTTAAAAAATGTAAAAAAAAAAAAACTAAAAACTTACTGTTCTGAATTCCAAACAGGAACATTCCGGTGGCTTGTGGAGAGGATGCTGATGCACTCTGCATCTGGCTCATGGCGCCCCCTGCAGGACTGTGGAACATAGAGGCCTGTTGCTGAGGAGGGGGTGTAGTTCCCTGGATGGACTGAGGGAACAAGCTTGTCTGCTGAAGTTCCTGTTCCATACTGCTTTGCAGAGCAGACATGGAGGCAGAGGACATAAATAGTGTCACTTGTTGCTCTGGAGAAGTTGGGGAGGGCTGAACGAGCTGGAGCTGAGGGGAGTTGTGAAACATGGGTGCCTGTTGCTGCTCATGTTGAGAGGTGACCGGGCTTTGGGCCTGAAACTCCATGTTTTGTGTGTGAAACATGGCCTGGTTCTGCTGATCCTGGGTGCCCATTTGTTCCTGGCTTTGGCTAAACATCATGCTTTGCTGTTGCTCAGGTGAAGCCATGTTGGCCATAGAACTCTGTGCACTAAAAAGAAGGTTCTGACTTTGTTCATGGGGAGAAGGGCTGCTCTGCATACCCACCATGGAGTGAGTGGCCTGGAAGAGGGCGTTCTGCTGTGTTTGTGCCTGGAACAAGTTCTGCTGAGACTGCTGCTGCTGTTGTTCCTGGGTGATCATTGAGCTCTGGATGTGTGACAGTTGCGTCTGTTGCTGGAATGCTGACTGCTGTTCGGGAAGGGTGTTCTGGCTAGAGAAGAAAGACAGCTGCTTCTCTTGAGGCACTTGGTTGCTCTGTAAGGAGCTCATAGAAAACATGTTGCTGGGAGGTTGCTCCGATGAAGCAGAAATGGCGCCTTGCAGATGATAAAGTGAAGACTGGATCTGATCTTGTGCAGAACTGGAGTTCTGATGCTGCACCATTGAGGCCTGGGGGTGGAACAGGGATCCTTGTGTTTCTTGCGCCATGCTCTGATTATCCGCTATTGTGTTTTGGGAGTGGTAAAGTTGAGTGTGTGAGTGGGGAGACTGCTGCAAAAAGTTGCCCGTCTGAAGTGCCATCATGTCTCCAGCTTGCTGGAACAGCCCAGCTCCTTGTTGTTGTCCCCCACTTGTCTGGACTCCAAGCATCTCTTCTGCAGATGCGAAAAGGTCAACTTGGGTTTGGCCATCCCCATTGTGCTGCATTTGGACCATGGTTGGGAAAACACTGCTCTGCATTTGCTCCGGCTGAGTAGAAGTGCTGTCACCATCTGCTGAGCTGGAGGACTGAAAGATACTGGAGTTTGTTGCTGACACTTGTTGTCCTGCAGAACCATCATTCCCACCAACACCTTGTGTGGAGAACATGTCGCACTGCATCTGCATCTCTTCACTGGTGGAGAGTCCACCCATTAAATGGGCTCCCTGCTGGTGCTGGAACACAGGTGACTGGATGGCTCCCGAGCTGGGGCTCTGTGCTTGGAAAATGTCAGACTGAATGGACCCTTGTGACTGGTGAATACTTTGCTGCATCTCCATAACAAGGGATGCATTGGTTTCCATGGCTTGTTGCTGATTTGACAATGTGTTTTCAGCCTGTTGGAGAAGGCTGTCAGACCTCGCAGAAAGCACGTTCTCCGATCTGCTATGTACTTGGTCAGGAGAGGAGAACATCCCCTGGCCGGCTGGGTTTTGTATGGAACCAACAGGCTGAAATATCCCAGCATTGATCTGCTCTTGGACTTGTCCAATTGCCGATTGCTCGTTTTCACTGCTACCTTGACTAGAAAACAGCACGCAAGACAACTGCTGCTGGGCCTCTAGGACTTGCTGAACCAAATCTACATCTGTGTTGTTATTGGAGACATTGGACTGGAAGTTGCCAGGCTGAAGCTGGTGAATTGTATTCTGCATCTGGCCAACACTGTTTGATGGTGTAAACAGACTGGTAGAGATCTGTTGCTGCAGTGTTTGAGCTTGTTCTTGCAATGCCGGTTTCTGGGACTGCTGTGTAGCCTCGGCCATCTGAGACAGCGTGACCAGCGCCCTATCAGATTGCAAGGTATCTCTCGGCTGGGCCTCCATTGTCTGAAATGGCGTTGTCTGCTGCATGATGGTGTCCTCATTATGGCTAGGAGATGCTTGGAAATTACTGGGCTGAGCAATGTCTTGTGTCTGGATGGTGGAAAGTGGCTCTTGTGGGAACAGAGTCTGTTGGTCAGTCTCAGTAGACAGGTGGGACACAGAAGGTGAAAATGACCCATTGGGAGAGGAATTATCCAGGTTTTGCGGGGCAGACACGACAATGTTGGATGCCTGTGGACAAAAGACGAAGGACCCTTTAACTTACTGAACTTATTTTGGAATATAGGGAGGGCAACATGTGACTTTTTTGTTTCTATTACTCTAATCTTTTATCATTCCAGGCACATTAAAAAAAAACAAACTGATTGCAAAGGGTAGCTGTATATTTAGCATGGTCACAGTGGCTTATTTAAATTGCCCACATATGGGAAATGGGAATACTAGATCCTGCTCGGAAAATTATGCTAGATCCTGCTGGGAAAAAGGAGGACACTAGATCCCACTGGCGAAATGAGTACACTAGATCCTGCTTGAGGGCAATGCAACCTTACAGATGCATTAAGGAGAATTTGTTGCCTAGGATAGAGGAATTATGTTTCAAAAACATACCTGCCAAAAGACAAACCTGTCAGGATGGGGCAGGCTTGGTCAACAGCACTGGGTCTTGGGATTGAAGTGGAATCTGCTCATCCAGAGGTCCCCTTTTGGATGGATGGGTACTCAGCCTGGTTACAGGGATTCCCTCCTTTGGGTGCTGGATAGGTGAGATTTGTCCGCAGGCTCTGTAACTAATAGCGGACAGCTAGCGGGGAGCGAGTGAAGAGGAGAGCAGCCGGAGCGAGAGTGAAGAGGAGAGTGACCAGAGAAGGAAGACAGCTGACTGCTATTAGTTACAGAGCCTGCAGACGAATCTCACCTATCCAGTACCCAGAGGAGGGAATCCCTGTAACCAGGCTGAGTACCCATCCATCCTAAAGGGGACCTCTGGATGAGCAGATTCCACTTAAATCCCAAGACCCAGTGCTGTGCTGTTCCACACCTGGAAGGAAGTTCACCAGATGCTTGATATACTCCGCTTCCCTAAGTGGTCCATGGTGGTTATATTTATATGTGCATATCCAATGCGCTTCTGGTGAGTGCGCATTTTTACTGTTACATCCAGGCACAAGCATTTGAATTCTGCTTTTATTGGGATCATTTACCATCCATTATTTATGAACTTTTATTGTCATTTTTATTGCCATTTTACCAGCGCTGCACTCCATTTATACAGTTTTCTGAGGTTTTATATGGTTACCTTTTAGTGCTAAAGCTGCTTTTTAGGGCGCTCACTTTGTCTTATCCTAGGCTTGGTCAACAAATAACATTTGATTCTGTGGGGGTTATTTACTGGGGAGTGCGAAATCTGGAGCAGCTCTGCATGCAAACCAATCAGCTTCCAGGTTTTATTGCCAAACCTTAACTGAACAAGCTGAAGGTAGATGCTGACTGGCTGCATTAGATTCTGAGTGCTCCAGTCTTAGTAAGTCAAGCCCACTGTTTCTCTTCTGCCTTAAAGCGGAGTTCCACCCAAAAGGAGAAGTTCCGCTTTAAGGATTGGTCCCCCGCTCCCCATTAAGGATTGACACCTTTGGGGAGCGGGGGGGGTACCCGGATTTGACAGGTACCCGCTCCCAGTTGTCCTCCTACCCTCCCTCCCCGAAGTCTTGTGGGACACGTGACAGGTCCCAGAAGATGACGGGACCATTCAGGAAGCGCAGCGCTACTCGCACATGTGCAGTGGGCACCCAGCTGTGAAGCCGCAAGCTGTCACAACCGGGTGCCCACACTGAAGATGTCGGCGTCTGGAATACAGGACGGCCGGTGAAACGGGCTACGGAGGGAGCAACGTGGGACAGGTGAGTGGCTGTTCTTTAAAAGTCAGCAGCTACAGTTTTTGTATTTTTTATAGAGTGAGTGGAACTTTAAAGATGAAGTTCATCTTTTACTAAAAAATAATAAATGCATTTTTTGCAGGTTAAAAAAACTATGCTTTTAGGCTCCATGCGCATTAGCATTTTTTATGCACGTAGAAGCATTTTGTTTCTGCTCCTAGAATAATAATAAGTGTTTTTGGGAGCATTTTACCGCCAAAAAAAAACCACTGCTCCTAAACGCTACTAAAACGCTCCAAACAGATTTTTTTTCCTGTCTTTTTTTTTTTCCCTTCCTACATGTATTGTAAAAACGCTAATAAAATGCTAACGCTCCTTAACGCTACTAAAAATGCTATTACTGGTGGTTTTTTTTTTTATTTAGCGGTCTTTTCCAGCATTTTCTGAGCTTAAAAAAAACAATAGTGTGCCCAGAGCTTTATTTGTTTATTTTTACCAGGTGCCTGCGAAGTATTGCAACCGCGATCAATAGATTGTGGGTGCAATGTCAGGCTCCTGCACAGTCTCTCTTCTAGCTTTCAGCCCGTACCTCTGCACAGGCTGACCGCTTGCAAGCTGGGGGGAGTGTGAATAGACTACGAGTGAGCAAATCATTACGTTATGGCAGAAGAGACTTTAAGTTTTCTCATTCACACACCTCTGTGAATGAAGTACGTGGCTGTGTGGGCGGAGCCCCACACGGCCACGCTGTTTTTAAAATGTGACAGTGGGTGCGGGGAGAGGAGGATGCTATGCCTGCTATTACAGGAGGGAGGGGGGGGGGGGGTGGTGTCAGGTCTGGAGCATGTTACACCCTAAATATTGTTGCAACGTGTAACGTGCTCCAGAAGGTGAAGCCCAACATTTCTTATTTCTGATCTGTGCCTGCTGTGCCATGTACTTGTATGTAAGTCTCCTGTTCTCTTTTTATTGCATTCTTTGTGTGAAATCCCCGGTGTTCCTGCCAGTCCCTTTGCTTCCATATTAAAAACTGACCACACTAGGCATGAGAGCATGGTGTGGTCAGTTATCTATCTGTGCCGGAACTCGGCCTCCTTTCCTCCAATCAGACTTGTCCTGACATGCCCCCCCCCCCCCCCCTGCACAACCATTTACTGGGAAGACCAGTGTACTGCTGTTTCCTACTCCAGCTCTTCTGCAGTGGAGAGCAGATGGAATGTGCTGCCAGTCCCTCTACTTTCCTATTAAAAACTGACCACACTAGGCAGGAGAGCATGGCATGGTCAGTTCTCTAGCCTTGCTGGGAACTCAGATTTCTTTCCTCCAATGAGTAGTCTTCTGCACACATCCTCCCCCCTCCCCCAGCACAGCCATTTACTAGGACACAGGTGTCAAACTGGCGGCCCTTCAGCTGTTGCAAAACTACAAGTCCCATCCTGCCTCTTCCTTTGGGAGTCATGCTTGCAACTGTCAATCTTGCAATGCCTCATGGAACTTGTAGTTTGGCAACAGCTGGAAGGCCGCCAGTTTGACACCCGTGCACTAGGATGATGAGTGTGCTGCTGTTTCTCCTCCCCTAGCTCTCTAAGATTCTTATGCAACTGAGAACAGCCGGTAAGTGATCACTTATATAAAAGGGGGAAAAAAAAAAAAACGTGTTTATAAAGTTTTCAATATCTATATACAAGTGTTTTGCCTTTCATTTCTATTTTAAAATGAATGGGTTGTTTTACAAGGTGAAGGTTATATACTTTAAGTGCAAATCTATCTCTAACTTTGCAAACTGATTGTACCCAAATATATGAAAAGGACAAATCAGTAACAACAGTCATCTATATATCCTCGCTTGTTCTACTTCGTAGGCTTCTCAAAACATCTCTATTAGATTGGTTTGGTGCAGCGATAACATATCTACTTAAAATTCTGCCAAAAATCGAGTCTATTCCAAATATTTGCCAGGGAAAAGCAGACACGTACTTTGTACAGAGGTGAAGCTCTCTGATCTCCGGTCAGCTCCATAGGAGCCACGTCTTCATTTTTGATGATGCCGCTGGATTTAAGCGGAGAGCCTCTGGAGGGAGGGAGCAGGTTCACTTGGTCAATGTTGCAAACGGGTGAGGTCACGGTTGCTGGAAGGACAGAGCAAGAGGAGAGTGAGATGGTAAAGTGTACATGAGAGACAATGCTCCTGCACTACAAGTCACAGCATGCACTGACATCTGGTAGCCTCCCTAGCGGTCTGATTATGTCCATATTTCTGTGCTCAAAGCGGTACTTTTTTTGCATGGAAATATGTATTTTTTTTTTATTGCAGGCCTGTAATTCTTAGGAATAACTCACTGAAATCTGTCCGAACAAGAGTCTAGTAAACATCCCGGGATGATAAAATTTTGAAACACGAAATCATAAATTATAATTTAATAAATAATCATAAAAATAATAATAATAAATTTAATTCAATAATATAATCAAACCAAAACCACTGAAATGTGAAATAGAGCGCCAAGTTCGCACATCGCTGAGCTCAGTCGCAGAATCGTTTTCAGTGTCTGATGAGGAATTTCCCCCACCAATCATTATCACTCAATTCTGCAAGTGGTTCTGATTTACTATCGCTGTTCTCTAGCCGGTCTAAAACCGCGTCTGACCTAAAGGGACGCTTTTTGGACGCCATGGACGTTTCTCAGTTTCCAGGCAGAAAAGAACAGTAAAAATGCAGGCAGGGCGCCGGACAAAGCACTCAGGACAAAATGTATGTGAAATGGTTTGATACAGGAATGTTATACTATGTGATTTTAGTGAATGTCACTTTTTACAACTTTCAAATTTCCCGCCAGTTCCGTCCCCCGTATGTCCTGACATCACAGAGAACGGAACCCGGAAGACAAATGCCGGCATCGGCCGGAGGACATTACAGGGGACACTGCAGGGGGGACATCGCAGGAGCGCAGGACAAGGTAAGTGAAGAAAAGATCCCGGAGCAACTCTCCAGTGTATTCCCGAGTGTAGCTCGGGGGGGGGGGGGGGGTTTACCGCTTGTGGTGCTGAAACTCTACCCCGAGCTACACTCAGGAATACCGCCAGGGGGGTTAAACATGAGGGCTCAGGACAGGCATCACTTTCACAGAAACTGCCTTGCCCAATAAAAGCTGGATTTTGGATCCCTGCGACTACCTAGCTTAGGTTCCATCAGAAAGTTTAGCTGCCTGGCTTGCAATCACAAAGTTTCTGTTTTTAGTTGTGTTTCTAAAGGCGCAGCAGGTCCTATTGAGGTGTGTTTGGATTGCAGGCAAAGCAGCTGAAATGCGGCCTCTTCTTGTCCCATGCTGCATTTTGCTTTTAAAACGCATGCATCAGCACCGAGTTAGGCTCCATGTACACTACAGCTGATAAACTCATGTTCCAGAGCTTTTCTGCGTTTTTTTTCAGCAGCCCCTGAACTCTCCCTAATGTTTTCCTATGTGTCCATGTACACATCGTCATTTACAGGCAGTTGAGTTTACAGTCATTTTTTTGAACGCAACAAACTTGCGTTCAGGAGTAGATTTTTATCGGCCTTTTGGCTAAGATCAAGTGTAGTATCTGTTCTTATCAGTGTCCAGTGGGGGTGCTCCCGGCCATTCTGTCTTTGTGGGGTTGGTTGGATAGTACCCTCACTGGTATGATGGGGGTCCGGAAGGCTGGACCGGAGGGACAGAAACCGGGGAGCGCCATGATTCGTTCTGGGGCCTCGGGAGTAATTCCTCCGAGAAGGCTGGAAAGACCCAGTACCTCCTGATTTGAGCAAGCTACCTTGGTCCGGCCAGGGGCTGGGGGACGCAAAAAGTCCGCAAACTCAGTGCCCCCTGGGGAGATGCGCTCAGGGGTGTCACTAGTAACACTTGGGTGTGGGACCCCACGGTGTGAAAATGACACTTGGTCACTGTTTTTACACATCTTTTTGCACAGCGCCCTAAGGACCAGGCCTTTTGGCTAAGTCCAGGGCAATTTTTGCTACGGGCCTCAGGGCCTGGTCTGTGCACTATTAGGCACGGTACCACTTTTTTTATTTTTTTTCTTTACTTTACCTTTTATTTATTTATTATGCACTTCCCACGTTTTGTCACTTTTTTCTTTGCCTTATGTGTGTGTTTTTCACGGATGGAGGGTGTGGGTCCTCGGGCCTACCCTGAAGTTTAGGGGGAGGATGTGTGGCCATACAGTTCCTTCCTCCCCTGATCCCTAGGGGACTCTTCTTCGGGAGAGTCCCCTTGCCTAGTACTGGATGTCCGGCTTCGGCTGGACATAAGGGAACGGTGGTCCACCAGGCCTTTTGGCCAGGAGGACCAATTGGGAACCTTGTCCCCGTCAGGAGCTTCGTGCCCCGGGGGATCAGGGTAAGTGGTCCAAGCCCCTTTAGGGGTAGGACACAGCACACCCCTAAGTGCACTTTTTCGTGTGGTGTTTTGCACTTGCACTTTTTTTTGTGAACACTTACGGGGTTTTTTTCGTTACAGTTGCACGTTTGCGGACTTAAAAAAAAAAAAAAAAAAAAAAAGTAGATTTTTATCAGCGTTTCAAACGCTTGTAAATACAGTAAACCGCTTGGAAATTGTTTTTAACGCTTCCATTTCCAGATGCTGTCCAGAGCCTTTTTTTCATCATGAAAAGTGCATGCAAAGCGTTTTCCCGGAACTCAAATGGACCCCGGTACACCATACTTTGAGGTTTCGCATGAAAGAAAATATGTTGGACGCTGCTGCAATAATTTCTGCACAGACATGAGCCGCAACACATCCAAACACCACAAAAAAACAAAAAAAAACAACAGCTAATCTCAACACATACTGCTCTCTGCTTCTGCTCTATTATTGTCAAAATGTCTGAAATAGTTCATTTTTTTTTACTGTTTTTCAGAGCATTCTGGGCATTTTGGAAGGTCTCCTGAGGTTATCTTTAAAAAAAAAAAAGCTTCTAAAACACAAAAGCTCATAAACGCGGTATAAAAACGCGGCTAAAACAGCCATTTTTTAACCTACGTTTTCCAGCAGCCAGTTTCCACTGTTCAGAAGAGTTTTCCAAAACGTCCCGTGTACATGGAGCCTTAGAATGGAAAACGCTGCATTTCTCTTCTCCCCAAACACTTAGAGTGGTTTACAGTTCCCTGCTGTCCCACCCAGTTTTCCTGGCTCCTCCCCCCTCTGCAGTGCCCTGTGTAATGGTTGAGCAAAACATGGCAGCCTCTGCTCTGTGTTTGCACCACCAGCTGGACCACACTGGCAGAGAAGAGCTTGGTGACCACCATGGATGTAAAGGAGGGGGCACTGAATGTGTAGGTATCCACTTGTTGTTAAGGATGCTGGTGGGGTCTGGCTTCTTTCCTATTAAAAACTGACCACACTAGGCAGGAGAGCATGGCATGGCAAGGATGCTGGTGGGGTCTGGCTTCTTGGTTGCTAAGAAGCCAGCACCCGACAGCGTCCTTAGCAACCAGCTATGCAACGCTTAGGCGCTGTCTGCAACACATTTAAAACGTGCCATGCATTTTTAAACAACGCATAGTGTGTTTTAGAAGTGCTGCAGTGTGAAAGCAGCCTACAGCCCTGTACACACGATAAGAAAATCATCCGAAAAATTTCGTGGAACCACTGATTGAACGTTTTTAAAAATCCGGTTGAACAACAGTGAAAAATTTTGTCGTTTTGCGTACAAACGTTTCTATGCGGTGGTATGACAGTTGTACGGAAAAAAAAATCTATCAAGTGCTATCATGCATGAGCGAAAACAGAAGATGATCCGGATGTTTATGTCCAAGGAATCTTCGTAAATACGAACGAAAAATCCAAATGTTAAAAGTAGATTGGCTTAATGAGATAATGAAACCAGAATTCTGCATATTACCGTATTTTTCGCTCCATAAGACGCACCTTATGGTCAGAGGCAGAAAACAGGAAAAAAAAAAATTCTGAACTAATGGACTGCAGACATAGTACAGGAGATGACCAGAGACTGCAGACATAGTACAGGAGATGACCAGAGACTGTGGACACAGTACAGGAGATGACCAGAGACTGCGGACAGTACAGGAGATGACCAGAGACTGCGGACAGCACAGGGATGACCAGAGACTGCGGACAGCACAGGGATGACCAGAGACTGCGGACAGCACAGGGATGACCAGAGACTGCGGACAGCACAGGGATGACCAGAGACTGCGGACAGCACAGGGATGACCAGAGACTGCGGACAGCACAGGGATGACCAGAGACTGCGGACAGCACAGACCAGAGACTGCGGACAGTACAGGGATGACCAGAGACTGCGGACAGTACAGGGATGACCAGAGACTGCGGACAGTACAGGGATGACCAGAGACTGCAGACATAGTACAGGAGATGACCAGAGACTGCAGACATAGTACAGGGGATGACCAGAGACTGCGGACAGTACAGGGATGACCAGAGACTGCGGACAGCACAGGGATGACCAGAGACTGCGGACAGCACAGGGATGACCAGAGACTGCGGACAGTACAGGGATGACCAGAGACTGCGGACAGTACAGGGATGACCAGAGACTGCGGACAGTACAGGGATGACCAGAGCTGCGGACAGTACAGGGATGACCAGAGCCTGCGGACAGTACAGGAGATGACCAGAGACTGCGGACAGTACAGGAGATGACCAGAGACTGCAGACAGTACAGGGATGACCAGAGACTGCGGACACAGTACAGGAGATGACCAGAGACTGCGGACATAGTACAGGGGATGACCAGAGACTGCGGACACAGTACAGGGGATGACCAGAGAGTGCGGACACAGTACAGGGGATGACCAGAGAGTGCGGACAGTACAGGAGATGACCAGAGACTGCGGACAGTACAGGGATGACCAGAGAGTGCGGACAGTACAGGAGATGACCAGAGAGTGCGGACAGTACAGGGATGACCAGAGACTGCGGACACAGTACAGGGATGACCAGAGACTGCGGACACAGTACAGGGATGACCAGAGACTGCGGACACAGTACAGGGATGACCAGAGACTGCGGACACAGTACAGGAGATGACCAGAGACTGCGGACACAGTACAGGAGATGACCAGAGACTGCGGACATCACAGGGATGACCAGAGACTGCGGACAGT